CCCCTACCCCCCCATAGCCGCCTTTTTTTTGTACGCGGGGGATGCCAAACTAAAATTTTCCCCCGTTACATTACGAAAATTGTTTTGAGGCTGAAATTTGAGTATTATTGGAATATGAAAGTATTATCAAGACCTATTGGCAATAAAAAGCTTAATGTATAAAGGTGAGTTATGTGAACCACGTTCAAAGTTTCTCAGGACCAACGATGGGAACGTAGTGGTTATATGGTCCCGTTATTATGATCTATATACTTCAAACCTTCTGGTTTGGGCAACAAATAACAAGAATTTTTAATGGTTTGGAAACGTTATTAATGCAATGCTCTGTAAAGCCAAATCCAATTCATTCATGTACTTGTCAAATGCAGCTGTTCCTAAACTTTTAATATAATAGAGCCCACACTAAATACAAATTAGAAAAAAAACAAGCTTACAAGCGCAACGCTCAACGCAATGGCACTCAATATGGCAATGATACCAATTACGATTACATATACTCGAAAAAGAATAATTGCATCTGTCATGCTGTTTATACAACTTTACGTGTGCAACTCAAATTGACTGCCGACCACCATGCTTATTCATGGCAAATTTTAAGCGATGGTGGCTGGTCCCCGATTTGTACTTATGTATCTGTTGAATTATTGAACTGCCAAAAATTAACGACTTTATGGAGCCCTGGGACTTTTCTACGAAACCCTTGTGTTTAAGCCGCCGCTTAAACTTAATTCAGCGGCCGAGCGCGCACGGCCGCCTACCATCATCGTGCCAAGTTAGACGAAAGTTAGTTCAGCTATTAACGCCGGTCTACGCGCATGCGCCCTTATCAAAACTAGTTATCGAAGTCAACATGGGGTTTGCATCGATTTGCCCAATACATTATATATAAATACATATACAAATATATATGTACCTTTGAACTTGAGGTCCGAATATCAAGCTAAATAAACTCTGGCTCTGTGACTAAATTTCATCAACAGAAAATAAACTAAGTCTAACTTTTGTACATTTTTAAAACCTAAAATAAGTCTTTACTTTAAAGCGGAAACAAAGTGTGTATGTGACCAACGTGAGTGCGAAGCGACCAAGCGAAGAAATATTTACCTTGGATTCCCTGGANTTACATTTTTAAAACCTAAAATAAGTCTTTACTTTAAAGCGGAAACAAAGTGTGTATGTGACCAAGGTGAGTGCGAAGCGACCAAGCGAAGAAATATTTACCTTGGATTCCCTGGAACCTACTTTAGGAAGTTTTGGTCTAGTGAGTGGTCAACTTTGCCAGGAATTACAATAACTTCAAAATATTTTTTAATGTTATAAGCTCTATGGTTGCGTCTAACTCAAATAACGAGTAAGTGGTCGGTACGGACATGTTTTTGATCGCTCTTGCAAACGCTGCTTTTTGTTTGTGTCGCGAGGAGGTATATAATTTTTCCTTCATTTGCATACATTCTTAAAAGCTGGC